CCACCTGTGTAAAAAGGAAAATTCCCGTGGTGTTGTTCAAAATGTGCTCTGGCACAATCATAAACATCGGTTGCTACTGAAAACAAGAAAAAAGCCGGTCCTACTATTTGTAAATGGTGGAGGGGGGGGGAACACTATGCAATATATTCATTTTTAGCGTGGCAAGGGATCATTTTAGGGTGGCACTTGCCACCCTTCTAGATCCACCCCTGAGTGCAGATGCTACATTATTTTCGGGGAGGGGCTACTAATGCTGGTATATCAATGCAGGAAGTGTGAACACACTAAAAATCCATAAAACTCAATTTTCAACTAGTTTTTGTTCGAGTTCTTTCTTATAGGTTTATTGCATATTCAACAAGAGCCCCATTTAAAAAGATCTCTACTATTTGAGCGGCTATTTTGTACCTGAAGCTTCTTTTAACATAAGCAGCTCACTATAATAGACTCAGACGCTCATTTGTTTCCCTGCATCGCTTCCTGTTGGCCTTCGTACATGTTTCACTGCACTTATTTACACACTTTCTTTCTCTGCTGAAAAAACACACACAGCACCAGGTCAAGGTCTCATCTCTTTGCCCAAGTGTTCTCCTTTTACTTCATTCATCGTTTAATGAATACAGTGAGAGACAAATAAATACAGACAGAACAGTGGTAAAAAGGAGGAGGAGGAGGAGATGGGTGAGTGTGGAAGGTCAAAGGACGGAGGAGGAGCAGTGGTGGGTGTGAAGCAGGACTACAGTCCAAACTAACTTTATTGTGTTGTTTGTCTCCTGTGGAGATGATGGTTTTCCTACGAGCTTTATTCTACTCACAGCGTGGTTTTAGAAACTTAAAGTCCTGCATGTGAATGTTGCTGAAGGAGGAGCAAAAAAGAAGAACTAAAAAACAGGAGAATCTGGTCAGTAAGGAGGGAAAATGCAAAGAGAAGATGATGTGAGAGAGCCCTCGCTCACAATCTGCCAAAAACAATCAAATAAAATGACAAGAACATACTCAAATCTTTAAAAAGAATACAAAAATTGCCTCGTTGCTTTTGTTAGTTTTTACTTGAAAAAATACTTTAAAAAGTAACAAATCAACAGAAAACAGTACTGGTGGAAGTTGGAGGCTGGCAGCATAGAGGGCACGCTGGAAATCAACTTCAAGCCGCAGCTCGAGGAAAGATTTCCAACACGCCCTCTACGCGCCGAGCTCCGGGGTGAACATACACGCGAGTCTGGGGGACGGGGTTTGTTTTTTTTAAAGTTTTTTTTTTCTTTTTAGTACTGACTAAGGAGAGATATTTAGCAGAAGGTGGTGTGGACGCCGTCCCGTCGATATTAAGACTTGTCTGCTGATTTGAGGAGGTTTTCTTTGCTCCTTCTCTTCACGTCCCAGTTGTAGACTCGTGCCATATCTGGAGGGAGCAGCGAGTTAAGGAGCAACAGAGGGCTCGTCTGGATTGATGTTTTGATCTGGAGTCGTGAAATAGTTAACCAACATTACAAAACATTGTCACCCTTACCTGCTGTGTCTGGTCGACTGTAAACTGAGGAGATGAGAGGTACATCTTGCCCTCATTCGACTTCATGTAATTATTACCTCTTGGTTGGTTGCTCATTTTGAACAATATTATTTTGTAATATTTATCGCAGGCGTCCTCTATAATGGCGTTTAACTCCCACTCTATGAACTGTGGCTGATTGCCTTTGGCGAAGTCTGCAGAGATGCAGATCTAAACGTCTGTCGGCCGTGCACTTTACAGTGCAACATCAGGAACATCCAGACGCACAGACTCACTATGATTGTGTCTCAGAGGCTGTGACTCTGGGACTGGCCCAGCACCAAACAGGGTTTTCTATCACTACAAGTAGCAGTAAACAGTCATGTTGTACACTTCTGTTAGACCTCGAATAACCGGATACATTCTTTTGGTCTGACT